AAGTAAACCGATTAGTTGATAGTCATCTGCTAATGTGCCAAGAGGACCCACGTGTTACTTGGATCCAGAGAGGGGGACAGAATTACACATGACAAGGTTGGCCTTGCAGGAACATAGACAAAGAAATGATGCCTGCCAGAAGGACAGACAACAGAGAGAGAGAAACCCCCCCCCCCCCCCCACACACACACACACACACACAGAGGCTAGGACAAAATCCTTTGAGGTAAATGCTTGTCGTTCAGGTTTGGTAGTGTAGCAGTTCTCTCAAACAGAATCCATTTTTCTTCTTTATTTTCAAGGACCTTTAAAAAGATCATACCAATAAGGAGTGAAGACCGTGACAATAAATCAGCAGGATACACCAGCAAGTTGCATTTCAGGTCTCTTAACACTCGGAAACATCAACAAATGCATGTTCACGGAACATTTTAAAGGCAGCTGACTTGAAATCCACCGAGTTAATCAATTTAAAATTCAAATGCAAAACCTTTAAAAGTCTTTCTGGGACATTAAATGTCTTTTATCTCTGTCCCAGCAGAGTTTCAGCTTTTCATGGGACAAATTATTGTCCCCATAGATGATAGAAGGGCTTAAAAAAAACCAAAACACCGTGCAACAGAGTTGCAGTCCCATGATGCAATGCTCCCAGTGGTTACATCTGCTCCATTCTTTCATCTTCCTCCATTGTTAGGTGGGAGCTGTCACATTAGGAGGAGAATCGTGGCTCCTTCCCACCCCCAAGTACCCCCTTTTTCCCCATTCCAGCAGTTGGCAGGGTGGCAGGCCCGTACAAAGGAGCATGCACCAGGAGCGCAGAGGGGAACACCGTTAGAGGAAGAAACAGTTTGGGAATTAAGGTCATTAATTTTCCACTTTCAAGGGCTGCCACACAGACGGAGATAAAGTCAGCATAAATATTCTGCCGAAGTTTCTCCTGTTTTTCTCCTCTCCCCATTTTCATCGGCAGCCCATTTATCTCCATGCTGTCAATTAGAGGCAAAAGCAAAGAACTAATTAGGAACTGTGCAATTTTAATTAGCTGTTTTGATAATTAAACTAATTGGTTCCCTTGTGTTTCTGCAATGTGTGCTGAGAACTTTTTGATATCTGGGCAGCAGATTTTCTATCCGCTGGTTAATTAGTCACTTTTGCATTAAAAAGGAGCCTTCCTTAATAGCCTTAATTTGCAGTTGAAAAGAGAATCTACCATCAATAATTTGTGTAATTGGTAACCGTTTGATTGTAATTTAGAGGCACGGCCGGACAGCTCGGCATGTCTAATTCCTAATGACTAGGATTAAAGTTGGATTAGCTATTTGGGAAAGGGATTCGCTCTCCCCTCTTCTCTACCCACCAAAGTGACACCTTGTCTACATTTGATTGGTCATGAAATTCAAATTGACTAGGTGAACAGCAGGGCTTAAACTGGTTTTATTACTTTCTATAATGCTGAGCCTGTCAGGTCACATCAAAAAGATTGCGATGATTCTTATTTTCCACCCACCCTGCGAGGAGCTGCGTGAAGAGGCGAATGAAAAGTGGTTATAATTTAGTTTGTGCACAGCTCTGAGGGGAAACGTGGCCGAGTTCGACCACTAGGAGGAGCAGCACCTTAAGTCTCAGAGTGCACCGAGTCTCACCGGCACATGAAACTTCTTCTTTACACATTTGAGTGTATTCTCATAAAGAATATGTGGAGTGGTGTTTACAAGTGCTTCCAAAAAGGCTTCTGGATCTCTACGAAACCTGGAAGGTCTCGGTATCGTTCAGCATCTCAACTATCAGGCACCGTCTCTATACTTGTACAAAACACAGCCACGTCAGTAGTCTGATTAAAAAGCACCATTCATCCCACTTAGCCGGAATACAATTAAGGGACATGGCTTTAAAAGCCCAGCCCTGAAGCCTTTCCCCCCCCCGTTCCACATAAAAGCAGCACTCTCCACCGAGGCTTGCCTGTAAATATCATGTTTGATATGAGGTTTTAATCTGCTTAGCCATTCTGAACTATAGAATGGGCTCATCCTCTCCCTGAAACCCCCGTCCAATGGCTGTGTGCCGGAGGACGAACGGGAACACAACACAAGTGTGCTATCTGATTAGGTGGGGTTAATTACAGTGCACTGTTTTGTAGTGGCTGCATTTGAGAGCCGCCCATAAATAGATGGGCATGGCTAATGCATGCTCAGAAATGAATTCTAATTAACTGTGTATCAGAAAGGCTCGCTCAGGGGCTTGTTTCTAGTATCCACTGACCCAGGTGTTGGATGTGGAGTGGGGAAGGGTGTGCACCCAAGACACTTTGAGGGGGCTTAGGTGTTCATCCTGACCCACATCAACACAACATGTTGTGACTTAACACACGGGCAATTTGTATTGATGAGAAGTACTTTATTAAGAGCCACTGAGAAACTTGTTCATGTCCTCACCTGATTATTGTTTAAACAGGAGCCCTTCACCAGTCCACCGATTAGAATTTAAAAACTTTATTAGCTCCTGTTGCACGACACATGGCTCACATGTGATGCTGCTCAAACACAACGCCACATTCAAATGCTAAATGCCCCGATGATACAGAACCACTCAGCTTCTTCTCTTTTTGTAGTTTTCTATGTGACTGGATTAATTATGTGTCACTCATTGGTCAGCACACATACATTCTTGGTCATAAGTCATCAATCTATGCGACCGTGGAGACGAAAAGTCAAGCATGTCAGCCAGAAAGCTGTTCGGAGAGGGATCAGACCATTGATTTCAGGGCCAACCCAATCTCACCACAGCCTGCTGCCTTGAGAACTGAAATTATCCCTATGGGCAGCGTGCAGCAAGCTTTAGATGTTAGATTTGTAGCACACGATCGCATTAGAGGGACCAGTGAAAGGTTTTACATATGGAGCTGTGATTATTTAACTCAAATGTAGCTCAGAAGCTAAGAGTTGAAACAGAATCTATAAAAACTCTAAATAAACATGCAGATTTCTTTATTAGACAAACCCATATGTGCTTCTAGAAACCTGAAAAGTTACTAAAAGAAGATTTGATGGAAGTTTTAAAGAGCAAGTGCACCGAGATTTCATTTATAATTTGTTATTTTTTAAATACAGTCACACTGAGATTGAAAATAAAGTCTTTTACCCGTTTTCTGCATTTGCCACCAATAGATAATAGATGAGGTAATGCTCGGATTAGAAAAGTCCGTCAGTTCCACGTCTCACTGAAAATCAACATTCATGGACTCACCCGTCTTGGCTCACGAAGAGGAAGGCTCTTGTTGGTTTAGCGTTCAGGAAACAGTAGAGAACATCTCGGCTAGTAGAAGCTAACGTTAGCACTAGCAACTCTACCACATGGCAAAACTCCTTCAGGTTTGAGCTATTTGTGGAGATAAAACATCAATGTTGCAAAGCGAATCAAGTAGAGCCACGTTGCTGTTAGCCAGTCAGAGGCAAGATGTCCGAATATGTCATCTGATGCTCCCCTCTGCCCCGGCTCACTTCTAGTTGGTGAAACAGGGGTGCCAGAGTTTGTTAGAGATCACCGCAAGTCTGTTGGAAAACAACTAGGTATTTAAGGTCAGCTTCACTGGAAAACTTTTTATTATAATCTTAGTTTTTCATGCAGTCTGAAGGTGAAATAGTCTTCTACCACTATTAGCATTAGCTTCTGAAAATATACGATGAAACTTTAGGATTCGAAAAGCACGCTGTCACTCAACATTCATGGACGTACCCATCTTGAGTCATGACGGGGAAGGCTGTTGGTTTAGCGTCCAGGGGACAGCAGAAAATGTCTAGGCTAGTAGAAGCTAACCATTAGCATTATCAACTCCACCACATGGCAGAACTCCTTCCAGCTTGTGTTGTTTGTGGAGATTAAACATCAATGTTGCAAAGCGAACCAAGTCAGTGGTAGAGTCCTGTTGCAGTTAGCCAATCAGAGGCAAGATGTCCGAATATCAGGAAATAAAACTCAATCCTGCCCTCTGACTCTACTTTCTCCTCCAGCTGACTTCTTGGTGCTCAAACAGGTGCCATAGCTTATTTTCTCCTAGAGTATGACTTGCAAGGCCTTCAGTGTCGCACAGCAAAGGTATTAAACAGTAAAGTTAACCTTTAAGAAGTTTTTGCACTTTAAATTCATTTAAACTGGTTGGGTATAAGGAATCAGTGTAATGATAGCTTACTTAAAGGATGGATGTGGTGCAAAATGTAACAGAAGGCAGGGACAGACTGAGCAAGCTCACACCACAGACAGCCTGCTGGCCGCTGACAAACCAGCATTGTTGTAGCTGTGCTCCACTCCACTCTCCTAAATGGCTAATCTTTGTTGGATCTCACCCTTAATTGGTAAACTGTCTCCGCAGGGCAAGTGAAAGTGGTGCTATTTAAGGCTCCACCATGAAACAGCAACACTTTCATCTTGGCAATAACAGGCAACAATTATATTACCAGATTCGAAACTGAACCTTCCATCTACCCACTAATCAAAAACGCGGCCCATCTGTTGTGCTCGTCTCTTTAGAAACCGACTGTTTATCTGCAGCCTGTATGATAACTGTGTCTGGACACTAATTAACAGCTAAACGGACCCGCAATTAGACGGTTTCAATTCTGCAGAGGGGGAGGGAGAAAGTGGAAGAAAGAAAACAACAAGCGCATTTTATGTTTACTCAAAGTCTACCAGGCACTGATGGAGCAGCTCCCTCAGCGCGTGCGCACGCATCGATACGACCCCGCGTGCATGCGCGCGCTCTCCCCGCGCGCTCACATTCAGACTGGCAGGCAGCCTCGCAACACGCGCGCGCGCGCACTCACTTTCCCTTAGCTGTGCTTTTGTGTTTTGTCAGAATTAATGAGAAAAGTTCCCTTGCCCTAGGGGTAATTAGTGTCCTTGGAGTTAAATAAGCTAATACTTAGACACCTCTGGCACAAGCAATTATGTTTGTGTATTGAATAATTGATTCAAAGAGGGGGGGAAGGGCTGCTAATCAGATCTGAGCATAATGAATTGATTTAATTAACAGGGGAATCCGAGGGGTCTCTGGAAACTGCGCGCATTTATTCAGCAGCGGCAGAGGCGAGCGCGGCACACCAACTGGAAGCGAGGAGGAGAGGAGAGGCGAGGAGAGAGGCGGGCGGCGCGACTTCGCTTTTAGCAGTTGTCAGATTTGCGATTGGATTTGTTTGAATTTAGTTGCCGTTTCGGAGCAAATGAGAAGGCGAGCGGGAGAGCATTAACAGAGCGCAGCCGTTCAGTCTCATCCGACCGTATGTGTACTCTCTCTCTCTCTCTCTCTCTCACACACACACACGCACACGCACACACACGGTTTTAAACGTTTTTCATTGTTTTTCGGCATTTTTCCTCCTCCTCCTTCGCATGGAATTCATCAAGGGCAACAAACGCTGTGCGATTTATTTGCGCTGCAGTTCAGCCCGGAGAGGGGCTCTCGTCGTGGTTATGGCCGCATTCCGTGTGTGAATTATTACTGGTAGAGCGGGAGAAGAGGCGCAGAGAGCGATCCGTCATTCTAAGGGCTGTTTTACTTATTTTTCTTACATTTTTGTTATATTTGGGGAGGCTTGCCGAGACGTGCAGCGTTTAGTCCGCCGCGCGTTTCGAAGCCGCTTCCAGGAGCCGCTGTGGAAGCTGTGAACAGACCGAGCCGTGCAGCCCTGCTGGAGCCGAGGACGGACCGCCCGGGGAAGGACTCCTCGTTCCTCAGGACGATGGTGTTGGACAAGGAAGAGGGTGAGTACCACCTTTCTGCTCCCTGCGCTCTGACTCGGACATCCAGGTCACGACAGGACCCGAGTGTCTACCATTACTACCAAATGTATTTTAAAAAAACATTTTAAGGCATTTTCGTATAAAAGTTCCACAAACGCATGCGCCACAGTGGAGTTCGGGACAAGTTGCGTGTTTTAAGCGTTTTTGGGGCGAAGCAGACTTTTGGAGGAGACTGCGGTGCTCCTCCGCGCCTCTCCTCTCCTCTTAAGTGCTTTTCGCGTGTGTGAAGTTGGCGAGGCAGCCTTTGACATCACCACGGGATGGGAGATGACAGCGGAGTGCTTTTAACTTGATTGCAAATTATGGATAGCGGCGCGTGCCACACGCACTCACTTCCTCATCCAAATAGGCCTACTTGCATTACTTATCTATTTCAATGTATTTAGGTTAATGGGCACGAGTCAATCTAATTAATTTTAATTTAAATCAAACTCGCCACTAATGACGTCCCATTTTGGTCCAAAGTGATGTGCAGCGCGTGCATCACGTGCGCCTCTGCATGGATACAGAGATGGTCTCATGTTTACAACAGATATGGAGGAAACGGGTGTGTTTTTCTTTCTTCTGGGGTGTTTTGAGGGATATAGACCACCTGCTGGCTCACTGTGACAGCCTTCATGGACCATATAACACGTTTTATTCCTCAATATATTTCCCCGAAGTTTATTCCCGTCTCCTCTTCGCACAAAAGCAATGGATGCATTTGCAGCCCATTATTTACGACTGAAAATTGATATTTCATTTGTCTTAGCGGTCCATCCTTACACTTACACATCTGAGAACCAATAAAAGGATTGCGGCAGAGACATAAATTGGACTGTGTGGCTGCAGCCATGTAGTGCTAATGTACTCAAATTAACTCAACTGTAAATTGCCTTCTTTAGATGTCTGTCTTGCTAAAAGTTCCCTATATGATTCATGATTGGGAATGCTTTTAACAGTTAGCAATATGGTAAATGTACAAGGTGATGCAAATTGAATTAGTGGGAAAGGATGCACAGGAGCATGTAATGCAGTCAATACTACATTAACTACTGATGCCCAATTACAGAACCAGGGAGAGAGGCTTTTAGGAGCATTAGGACTTGCAGAAAAGCTGAGATCACCTGCTGCTCATTGCCTAAAAGCTTCACCCTTTATTTGCTGGGCCCAACCCACAGCACCAGCGTTTTTTGGCCAAGTTGTCATCAGAGCAGCTTGGCTCTGCTCTCTGTGGTGCCCTCTTAGCGTTTATTGGCTCTGAAGTTATAGGCTTGTCAATTCAAACCTTCCTGTCTAATGTATCCTCTTAAGTGCTCGCACAAATGAATGCGAGTGTGGCGAGGGAGGTGTGGGGTTTTGGGGTGGCCACATGGGTGTGCGATCACTCCATTTTTCTTGATTGATTTACTCATAGACCTGCGCTGATAGACTGGGCCTCTGAAACACCAGTCAGTCTGGTGTTGCGTTCAAAGCCTGCGGTGCAGTTGGCCGCGGTGTGATGACGTTGCTCGTTGCGCTGACTCTTTTTGAACACTGAATTCTCTTTCAGAAGAGAAAAGGTCTGCAGAGATTTGAGCTGCAGCAACCATAATCAGACTTTGTTGCAGCTGCTTTGAAGTAATCTGTGTCGTGCAACACATTCAGAATCGAATACGAGTCCAACAAAGGTTGTAAAATCGACACTTTTATCATCTTTGCACACAATCTGAAATCTTCTGGAGCTGATGGATCCATGTGCTCCATCTGTCATGTATTGCCTTTTTGGGTTAGATGAATAACACTATGGGACTATACACTATACACTATGGGAATAAAGGGTCTTTGATACAACACCATAGCAAGGTTATCACCAGTATGGAAGAAACACACATCCAAAAACATTCTGTGTCAACATTTGACCTCATCCGTGATACAAGGTTCCAATTTGTGTCCAATTTGAGAGGAAAAAGCAACTCAGCCTTTTTCTCTCTTAACGACGGGAGAAGAACGCGCGTTGGTGCTTAGGGCGTATTTCTGCTGAATATCACCCCTACAGTTTACTCCTCAGAGTGGAGCAAAAGGAAGATCCTCCAGCTGGAGATGCCTTTCTGGTCACCTGTGCTGCTTAATTTTAGACGCCGTTGTCCCCCTGTCCAGTGGAATCTGCACTTTCATAACACGTGTGATTGAAAAGCAATGCTTCAGCTGAATACAGACTGGCAATCTGTCGGCTGCTGTAATAAAACTTGAGGGCTTCGGGCGCCGATATTTATTTTGAAATAATAAGAATTGCTTCATTCTTTACCCGCGTTGCCATGGCAATACTGTCTCGTAGCAATGTTATATTGATTTAGAAAGTGGACAGTAATATTTCTTTTCGGTTATTCAGTTTCTGAGGGTTGATTTCTAATTTCCTGCTGGAGATGACTTTTAGATGTTCCTCAAGTCTTTTCACTTTTACGAAGGAATGCAATTTGCTCTTTTGTGTTTGTCGTTTTCTCAGCTTATTGGTTTGCTGTTGCTTCAAAATTAAGCTTGCTCATTTCAAATCAAGAAATTATGTCTAGTTTTTAAGCTCTAGGCCTTGAATATTAAAAACACGCTGCTTTGTGTGGTGTACCTGAAGTCAGGATCGGTTTTATTTCAGAGGCACCTCTACAGCAAACACACGAGGCATGGTGGTGCGTTTCGAACCGCTGTAATGTGCAGATCTCCATAGAATCTAAATATCTGATGGTCAACGACACGAGGAACCACCAAGTGACCGGTAACACTCGGATCAAGCCAAAGCTGCTCCGGCTTTTCATTTCAGCTAAGCTCAGGAAAAACGGTGCCATGAAACGGCACTGATACAATTTTCAGCTGCGTGTGTTTAATTCCATCTAATCTAAGTCTGATCTCACAGTTGCAGAATTCTCGCCAGAGACAATTTCGTCTGTCGCCACTAAAACCTCCGAGATCCCCATCAGCCCCTATCGTTTTCACATTTACAAGTGCGGCAGATCTGTATCATTTTTCTGATCTGAGTGGAATTCAAAGGGCCCAAATTGAGACATGAGATCTGTTTTAGCGAGCGCACCCACCTGCCTTCGATGTAAATGGCTGCACTCATCAGTGTGCTGCACAAACTCAATTATGCGCTCTTGAGCTGTAAGAGCATCCCTTTTATTACTGCTAGAGGCCACATGCTCGCCGTGTTATCGTACAGATTCCCTGTAACAAGTCGTGTGGCTGCGACACATCACAAGGAACAGATGATCCCTGCTGTGTCACACCAAAACCCGATCCACCGATTTTTACTCTCTCTAAAGCAAACCTACACTTCTGGTGTGCGGTTGAGTTGTGTGTGTAACTATGGGGAAATGAATCGATTCAAGGGCAAAAAAAAAAAAATCACACAGAAATCTCGATTATAACCAAGTTGAGATGAATCAATACTTTCAAACATGCCAAAGATTACCTGAACAAAACAGAAACGAAAGACAGGAATAACCAGACATTTAAATATACGTGGTTGTTTATGTGCTTGGAGCAGGACTTGCTGTTACGTCACAGTGTAATAAAAATAAAATAAAGCTTCACATTTCCTGCATTTTGTTACACGTTGTTTGGTAATTTGATGAATGCTTTCGGATAGACTTTGCTCTCCGAGGAGGAATTTTCTGTCATTACAAGCAACAAAAGAAGAAATGTGAGAAAAAGAGTGACCTGTTGCAGAGTGATGAGCTGATATCTAAAGTAGAACGTTATCAGCTCTGGGTCTCTTGCAGCTCAGGTCTTTATTTCACTGATCTTTAATTATATCTGAACCCATGTGTTGTAGAAACTGATAAGTGTGAAGTTAGTTTTGTGTTCCTGAACGCTACTTTCATGTCTGTTTCTTTCAAGCATGCCAGACTTTTCACAACACTTAATAAAAAAAATCTGTTAATTGACATTTTGTTGGTAAAATTAGCAGAAGTGATAAGTGTTATGACACCCAAAAAAATAAAATTCTTAATTTGTTTTAAAAAATATGGGAAAAAGTCTCTTAATACTGAGTGGGTTTTATTTTGAAAAGCAAATGAAGAAAATATTTCACCATCTTTGTGTTTACTAGTCAGAATATACTGAATAAAAGGGCCTGCTTGTGATTTATCTGAATACTTTCTGGTGTTTGAACAAGTGCTGCAAAATTTTCTGTCAGAATGATGGAATAAGCCGTGGATTCTTATAGTTTCATTGCTGCACTAATGCTGTTGGTTCCAGTTCAGTTGACTGGGTCTCCTCTCACAGCTGTTTACATCTGCATCAGCTGACCAAGTTAAAATTACTTGTTCACTGAGATCATATTTTAGGTGCAATGCTATTATTTATTTGATCCTTATGTTGTAGATCGACAGACCGATATATCGGGCCGATATTGATCATCTTTTATACATCAGTCGATACACTTTTTAGTAAAGCTGATTTTAAGTCAGGCACATCCTCAGCCAGCTTGGTGCTGCTGCAGAATTAAATTTAAGCGTATATTTACGTTCCTGAATAACAACTGCATGATGAAATTGCTCTAAAAATAATTTTCAACAAAATTTTATTTATATTTTAGAATATGTAGTACTTGGTCAGTTCATTGATCTTTTTTTATTATTGACTTTAAATGTCTGACTTTAACACTGCGCTGTGCACAAAAATAAAGATTTAACAACTTGTTCAATTCTGAGTTGAAAATTTCACTCCGCTTCAGAAATTCTATGCATGAGCTGATGTCGTTTGCGACGTTTTAGCATAAAAATAAAGTGGAAATCAGCTACATGTCATCCATGAACGTCGGCCCCAAGAAATCGGCAGCACATATCGGCCATCAGCTGACCCCGACTCCTACATATCGGCTTTGGTATCGGCAAAGAAAACACGATATCGGTCAATCTTTAGCTCAGATGATTTTGTGTAATCTAGACTTTCACTTAAACAAAACAGGAGATTCAAATCATTATATATATATTTTTTTTACGTTGCAT